CTGTCTTAAGGCGAAAGTGCGCATGGTAATGTTTCTGGCGCCAGTGTCTGTTGTGTAGCTGTTTGGTGCTTCGTCGTCAAGCACAGAAGACCTGAGTTCGGTTCTCGAGTGTGTAAAATCAAATGGTATCGACTATCTCACCTGTCTGCTTGGATTTCTGTACAATATACATTTCATTCTAAAAGTATTTGTTAAATTACTTTATACTGCTTTAGTACCTTGCGTTTTCCAAAACACTAAACACGACAACAAAAACAAACACGCACAAACAAAAACACAAACAATAAAAACAACGACGACGACGACAGCGGCAACGACAACAGCACCAACCACAAAAGAGAAAAAGAGAAATAATAACGAAAACAACAAAAACAACAAGAGTGATAAATTTTTTTTTTAATCGTTGGTTCTTACTTCCCCTAGGCTTCTTTATTTCTAACACTTCTTTACAATTTCTACTTTCAATATTTTCACCCCCGCTTTTCCTATTACTGACGTTTTTCAGTTATCTGTAACATGATAATTCTCTGTTCGACTCAGAAAGTCTTTTTTTATGTCTATTAATCATAGTCAGTTTCACTTTCCGACTCCTCTTGTTTTTCTTTTTAACTTTTCCTTTATTTTAACTTTTCCTTTATTTTAACTTTTCCTTTATTTTAACTTTTCCTTTATTTTACATTCTCTCTCTTTCTGGTATTGACAGCATGCTATCTATCTCCCTGTATTTCCTTTCCTCATTTCAAATGACTTTAAGGGGAGGGAAGGGGGAGCTACAAACTGAAGGCTATCTCGCTTATTAGAGGATCAAATTTTACCAAATTTCACACATATCACAAGCACAGTATGGAATCTTAAAATCCGCAATCAGATATATGAGAAAAAGTTTCGTTGCCAAGGATACGGCGGCCATATTTGAATTTATTTACATGTCTTACGTAATGAATACCGCACTTATTTTTTTATGGAAATAAGCTGTTATTGTGCACGCATATTAGCAACCAATACATCTACAAATTGGTCTGTTGATTTTTTCCTAAACGAATTAGGATATTTTTAATGATTTTTTTTCCTGAGGTAGTATTCAATTTTGCCAAAAATCCGTGAAACTCCACACTCCAGAAACCACCAACAAAAAATCGATTCCATATGTCAAATATTCAACCGACAAATTTTTAGCGTTACATGTTCTCTTCATTTTGTTAAAATTTCATGAAAATTGGATAAAAAATGGTGCAGTTTTTTTTTAAAAAGTACAAATGATACAAAAAAACA